GGTAATGGAATAGAGAAAATTCCAAAACCATATGAGTAAAGCATATAAAGTGGATAAATACTGTAAGAAATGATGACTTGGGGCATGGAGGAGACTGCTCTAAGTCAACATTAGAGGATTAAGGAAGATATTTGGGAAAAAGTAATATTGAAGCTAAGATCTAAAAGTTAATTAGGGTTAGTATGATAAGAAGTGGGCAAGAATGTCTTTTCAAAGAGAAAAATGTGTGCAAAGACAAGGAGTGAGAAGAAACAAGTCACATTTGGGAAGAGAAATAGTGCCCTGTGGCTGGAACACAGATGAGAGATTGGAGGTGGCAAAAATTAGATCTGGGGAGGAAAGTAGGAATGTAGTGTGAGGCTTTGTAGATTGTTTTAAGAAATTTTGTTCTTATCTTAAGAGCAAAGGAAAAACATTGGAGATTTTAACTAAGGGAGGCCAGATAACTTAACCTGAGTTTTTTTTTGTTTTTTTTTTTTTTTAATAAAGCTTAACCTACATAGTATGGCAACTGGTGAAAAGAAGATGGTCAGCAAAATGGACACAAGGACACCATTTAAGATATTCTGCAGAATTCTACATGTAAAATAAGGAAGTAGCAGGGTAGATGGAGATAAGTGGAAAGATTCAAGAGATACGTAGAAAGTGGGATCAAAAATAAGGAAATGAGTGAGAAAAGCAAGAAGGGAAGGAAAGGAGGAATGAGGAAAAGAAGGAAAGAGAAGCGTGAAAGGTGACTGGAGGTTTTCCATGAGCTCTCTGGAGACTGAGTGCTACGCAAGTAGAGAGTAATAGGAAGTCTCGACCTTGTCTTACACTTTGCCCTCATCTTTAATCTTACAGTGACAGAGAGTTTTCATTTTACACAGTTCAGTCACAAACATCATTTCATGTGATCCTCACAGTAATCTTCGTGGAGTCATCATTAACTGCATTTACAGAGGAAATGGTTTGTGAAAGGGCTTACAGGCCAGGAGAAATGGGACACAATGAAGGAAGCAACATAGTGGCTGGAGCCTGGGATGTGAAACAATATGAGCAAGGTCAAAGTTACAGAATCATGTAAAGTTGTGCAGGGCATGTTAATAGTTTTGAGATTTAATCTTAAGAACACTGGAAAGCATAGGATGATTTTAAGCAATAGTGACATAATCAATTTTATGTTTTTAAAATACCATTTCAGTGGATATCTAAGAACTGGAGAGGAAGGGGGTAGAATAAAGAAAAGAAGTCAAATGGCTATTGCAGTAGTTATAATGAAAAAGATGGCAGCTCTGAGTAGCATGGTGGTGAGTGGAATTTTAAGAAGTAGATTTGAGGCATTTATCTCATCACTTCCACTTGTTCATTGTTGTTCATCACAGTCTTTGTGCAAGAAGGCAAGAAAAAGATGTAAGAAGACATACAGAATGAAAAGAAAGTTTACTTTATTTACAGATGACAAAAAAATACCTGTGTGAAAATCTGAAAGAATGTAGAAAAAAGCTACTTGGATGGATCAGTAGGTTTAGCAAATTTGTAGAGTATGGGGTTGTTATTTAAAAATTCATTAAATCTCTCTTCTAGCAAAGAACCATTGGACATTGAAATTTAAAAAATAACATTTACAATAGTATCAGAGATAAGTCTAATAGAGATAAGTCTAAAAAAACTGTGCCAGGTTTGTATGCTAAGATCTACAAACATGCTGATAAAAGAAATAAAAGAAGACCCAAATGAAGGGAAGGCTATACCATGTGGATTGACTGGAAGATTCAATATTCTTAAGTTGTCAATTCTTTCCAAATTGATCTATAAACTCAGTGTAATCTACCCAAAATTCCAGTGAGCTTTTTTTTTGGTAGAAATAAACAAGATGATTCTAAAATTTATATGAAAAACCAAAAGCCTAGAAGAGCCAAAGCAATTTTACTAAAGAAGGGCATAGTTGGAAGATTCATATAACCTGATTTTACTTCTTAACTATAACCTATGAATATAGTATGGTATTGTTGTAAGGATAGACATATATCAATGAAACAGAGTTCAAAAATAAATACACATATATGGTCAATTGTTTTTTGACAATAATACCAAGCCAGTTTAATAGGGAAAGGAAAGATTTTTTCAAAATATAATGATGAAAAACTTAAACATCCATATTAAAAAAATAAACTAACAAAAGAAAAACAAAAGCTCAAACCTGTACCATTAAAAAGAAGAACACAAATAGATTATATAAATAAAAAATCTAAACCTATAAGAGTCCTATAAGAAAACATGGGAGGAAATATTTATGGCCTTAGTGATGTAAGCATATTTTAGAAAGAATATTTAAAAATGTGATTTAAATGTTTGATAAGGTAGACTTCACTGAAATTAAAAACTTTTTTCAAGACATTGCTAAGACTATGAAAAGGCAAGCCACAGACTAAAGAAAAATACTTTCTAAATGGATAGGAGATGAAAGACTTCTACTTAGAATCTATGAAGTCTTACTAGGAAATAATAAGGCAACCAGAACAAACACTTCACCAAAGAAAGAGATATGAACACAAACATGTGAAAAGATTATCCACATCATAAGCTATTAGAGAAATAGAAAATATTACTACAATGATATAACATTATATCCCTACTTAAATGGCTAATGCCTTATTTTAGACAGACAACAAAAATGTCCTGGCAATATCTGTGTAGCAACTGATATTGTAATACATCACTGATGGCAATCCATCATTGTACAAATGCCTTAGCAAACCTCTTATCATAAGATCTAGTACTACAATCATTTCTTATATATTTATTCAAGAGTAATAAAATCATCCACACAAATACCTGGATGGTTTTAGTATCTTATTCACAGCAGCCCCAAAGTGAGAATAATTCAAATAATCATCAGCTTGTGAATGCATTATTAGATTGAGATACATCCACACAATGGAATATTACTCAGAAACAAAAAAGAATAAATGACAGAAAGTCAACAACATGATTCCATTTATAGGACGTTCTGGAAAAGCACAACCATAAAGACATAAATCAGGTAAGTGATTGTTAGGGGCTGGATGTGGGAACAGTGAATTAACTCAAAAGAGGTACTAAGGAACTTTTTTTTTTTTAATTTTACAAATAGTTTATTGTCAAGTTGGTTTCCATATAATGCCCAGTGCTCATCCCCACAAGTGCCCTCCTCCATGCCCATCGCCCCCCTCCCCCCCCACACCCATCAGTCCTCAGTTTGTCCTCAGCATTCAAGAGTCTCTCATGGTTTGCCTCTCTCCCTTCCCCCCACCATTTCCCCCCTTCTTCTCCCCCGTGGTCCTCCGTTAAGTTCCTCCTAATCCTCCTATATGTGCAAACATATGATATTTGTCCTTCTCTGCCTGACTTATTTCGCTCAGTGTAACACCCTCAAGGTCCATCCATTTCATTCTTTCTCATTGCCATGTAGTATTCCATCGTATAGATAAACCACATCTTCTTAATCCATTTGTCTGTTGACGGACACTTAGGTTCTTTCCATGTTTTGGCTATTGTTGAGAGTGCTGCTATGAACATTGGGGTACATGTGTTCCTATGCATCAGCATTCCTATATCCCTTGGGTAAATTCCTAGCAGTGCTATTGCTGGGTCAAAAGAGAGTTCTATTGTTAATTTAATGAGGAACCTCCACACTGTTTTCCAGAGGGGCTGCACCAGTTTACATTCCCACCAACAGTGTAGGAGGGTGCCCGTTTCTCCACATCCTTGCCAGCATCTAGAGTTCTCTGATTTGCTCATTTTAGCCACTCTGACTGGCATGAGGTGGTATCTCTAAGGAAATTTTACAGTGATAGAAATTCTCTATATCGTGATTGTTGTGGTTATATACTTGTTGAAACTAATGGAATTGCTAACCTACATGGCAATGTTGTTTCAGTTCAAAATAGAGCTTTTACATTTACACTATAATAAGGGCTAAATCTCATCATTTTCTATGAAAAGTATATAGAGAAATATTAGGATGATTAGTTAGAAACTATGCAGAGGGTAATTGAAGACCATATGATATCACAGGGAAATATCTTGAAAAGAGAATGTGAGATGTGGCTTTTGCTCTGCAAATGACATTTAATTTGTGAGTATCCACATTTATAGGATTTGTCTTTCCCTAACATCCCTTTGGACTTTATCCATCTGCTATATGGTGAGAGGGTGGCCACTAGGGGCTTGCAACGTAATTCACTTAAAATTAATTTGTGATTTAATTTGAAAACTATTTTTCAAGCATACGATGTTCTGGGGATGCAAAGCCCTTAAGAAGTTTTCAGCCTAATGGTGAATACAAGTAAGTAAATAGATTGACAAAACATAAAAGCTGAAACTCATATACAATGAAGAGACAGATGCAAATAAAATTTACCTTAAGCCTCAAATATGTGTGTATTTTTCATGTGATTAGATTTCCTGCCTCTAATGACTACGTGTACACAGAGTATAATGTATATTATCACCACAAATTGGGCTCTCTCACAAAGCCCCATTTTTGGAACCCATCCATTTATGTAATACAACATTATTAGGAAAAGCAATTCTCTTTTATATAATGTGAGACAAGCAGAAGGCAGTCCTGATAGGTTATTTTTATGTGTTGTGACTTTCAGCTCACCCTTGTATGCACAGTAAAAAGGAGTTTCTAGAATCTAATCTCAAAAAATAAGTATGACATTGTCCACATTATTTGTACCCACCTGCCACGTGATGATAGTCATTTGCTTGTTTTATTAATAACAGATAAATCAAAGCCTTAAACTTTAATAAAATATACCTACACTGTGTGTGTGCTTATGCCTAAAATCACACAGTTAGGTCAGCAAATTTTCTGGATTGGGCCCATGCCTTAAAACAATTTGAAGTTGTTTACTTAATTCTCACCATGGGGACCTACCTAGAGTAAACATTTTGGGGGAAAATATTTCTTGAAGTCGTGACAAGGCATAGGACTCTGGAAGACAGAGAAATCTTTCAGGATGTCTTACCTGGTTTGAGATGAGCAAATGGGATTTCACCAGTGAGAAGTTCCCACAGACACAGAGCGTAGCTGAAGACGTCAGCTTTGATGGTGTAGCGTGTGCACTGCGTGAACACCTCAGGGGCCATCCAGCGGAGGTTCTGCATGTCCAGAAACATCCACAAGTCATTTACCAAGTGTGTAGTTATTCCACTGTAGAAGAGTGTTCTTCTCCGTGAGGATTTAGTAAGTGTTCTCCCGTTGTTCTCAAAAAATATAAACATAAAATCACACTGTTTGCCCTGTACTGTTCAATAAACCGATGCATTTACACATTAATATCGTGTTTACTATTGTTCAGTTTTACAAAGGCATTTTTTTAATCATTGGAAGATCATGAAATTCATAATCATTCCAAAAACATTGCAACAATATTATTCATCAAATAACCCTGCGTCTTATAAAATGATCACAGCAGCAGCGTTTCTTGTTTACTTCTGAGCTTTTTCCCCCTAGAAGCCTTGCAAGCTTCCGAATAGCCAACCACGTTTCATCCAAGAGCTCTATGCCTCCCTGGGGGTGAATCACACACCGTGGGAGGCACCTTCCCTCCTTTAGATCTTCAGGTTGTAATTTAGGAAGCCACTAAATTAGACCCATAAATAATGCCCTCATAACTGAGGAGAGATAGAGCCTTAGGGGAGTGCCCAGAATATTCCTATGAAGCAGACATCTCACTGGCTGGATCAGGTCTGCCATATCTCCTGTGTTTGCCCAGTTGTGTTATTTCTGAATGTGGTTTGTGCAGTATTCCAGGAAGAAAGCCTATAAAATGTTGTAATTTTCTCTGTACAAAGTTTTATATTCATGTTTTGATGGCATTATTTACATTCTTTTTACTTTCAGTTATGTATTTTTTTTTGGTTTCAAATGTAAGTTTCTGTTCTGGGATGCAAATGGCATACATTTTTGGATGATCTGTGGTTTAGGAGAAGGAGCACTACATTTTGAGTTAGGAGATGAAAATTCCAGTTCCAGCTCTACCATTCACTATTTGGGCAGCTCTGGGCAAGTCTCCTATGCTCCTGGACTTCGGATTCCTTAAGGGCAAAAGAGAAGAGGCAAGCCCATCTGGCTTTAAAATCCCATGGCTTCCCTAACCTTATCTATGAACTTGGCCAGACACCTTCTTTCTTTGTATTTCCACTGGAGGAAACCAGCATTCTTTTATTGCTCTTACTGAAATGCTATGTAGAGCTGGGTGCTGATAACTCTTTTGAAGTGTCTACCTTATTTTGAAATCATGCATAATTATAGCATTCTAAGAATATCTATATTCCGATTATGATGCTTATATGCAATTCTTCCACATGGGCTTTCACATCCCAAATAGCCTCCACTTATGTAGCAGATTATGCACTGTGTCACAACACTGCATAAGTGGGAGTAGACAGACAGTATGCCCATTTTTCCACAGAGGAGTAATAGAGTAATTAGCCAAGTTATATAAGGCCACATAACTAGTAAGAAACAAAACAGCCTTTAAAATAAACCTGGGGTAGTGCTATGCTTAAAGACTGTGTGGCTAGGATTAAAAACAAATTACTTGCTGTTGATAAAAGTCAATTCAACTTCATTAAACAAAAGTTTATTTAGCCAGAGTCTGGATGTTTTGAGAATCACCTGGGGGAACTTTTAACAGATACAGGTACCGAAGATAAACCCCAGGTCAGTGAAATCAGAATTTCTGGGGGTTGGGTTCAGGCAATACACTTCTAAAAAAGTTTCTGAAGTGATTCCAATGTGTTGCCAGGGTTGAAAAGCACTGATTTGGCTACCTCTGTGTCTCAGGTATTGTGTGTCCTGTTGAAAAAGGACTCATTCTTCCTACCTCTCTTACCTCCTATCTTGCCATTCTCCTCTTTCTCACTCCACTCCTGTCATTCTGTTTTTGAACACACAAAGAACTTTCCTGTCTCAGGGCTTTTGCACTTACTATTCCCTTTGCCTACATTGCTCGTCCCCTCACATGGATGGCTCCTGGTCAGGACTCTCATCAAATGTTATCGTTCTCTTTTGCCCTATCTAAGTAACAACCCCAATCTCCATTCATATACTGTGCTTTGTTTTTTCTCCATAACACTTAATCATAACTTGATATATATTTTGTTAATTTGCTCAGTGTCTAACTCCTTCTAGTAGAATATAAGATCCACTGGAATAAGAAAATTAATTTGTTCACCGCAATATTCCTGGTTCCTAGAAGGATGTCTGGCATCTAGTAAGTAGTCCATAAATATTTGTTGGATGAGTGAGTGAAATCTAACTGGGGAAACCAGGCATGCCTAATCATACTTACAACATGGTCCGTGATATAGTTCCTGCCTTCCTCTCTAACTTATCTTTCACTTTCTCTTCCTCATCCAGAGCATGCCAACAATGCCAAGCTAGTTGAAGTTCCCCTGGAAGTCTGATAATTCTCATCCTTCCCTATGTCTCTGCTCATGCTGTTGTTCATTCTACCTGGCACTCTTCTGTTTTCTCTGCACCTAATTTACTCCCATTCATCCCAAGATGCTTTATCACACCTTATTTATCACTGGACTTCCATACTGCTTTAAATCTATCTGCCTATTACTATCTTTTCCCCATTGAGAATGAGCTCTTGACATTAAGCTTTTCTTCATATTTTGTACTCCTGGCCCCTTGCACAACATATGACACATGGTTGGCCCTCAATAAATGTTTGTGGCCTGAATGAGTAAGGGTACACATTAGCAGTACAAAATGTTACAAAAGCACAGACAGGAAAGTGCATGGGGAGGAGGGAGGAGGTGTGTGTGGAGATGTTATGCATTTTAAGGGAAGGCACTTAAAATGGATAAAATTTCCTGGGCCTTGAAAGCCCTTTCTAGGTGAGGTGGAGTGAAGAGCTGTCCAGACAGAGAAAGCCACACTAGCAGAGACACCGGGATATGAATGTGAATGGCATTTTTGGGGGAATGAGCAGGAGGCTTGTGTATTAATTAGGGTGTGGGGGACTTGAGAGAACTTATTGTAGGAGAAAAGGTCAGAGAGGGGCCCTGGGCCAGATTTAGGAAGGCAGGGGGCTGCCAGGAAATGAATTTGGATTTTGGCCTGTGGGAACTGGATATCTGTGATGGTTTATAGGAGGAGGTGAATTGTCAAAACCTAACACTTGGCTGATGTTGCAAAGAAGGAACTAGAAGAGAGTACTGGAGTTAGAATCCTACCTCTAGTCCAGAAAAGAGACCATGAAGACCTGAACTGAAATGGAAAATGAGAGTTTGGGATGAACTTAAGCATGCAAACAAACAGAAAACATGACTGAGTAATGTGTCAGTGGAAGCAGAAAAAGGAAGGAATGGAAAACTACCCTAATTAGGTAGTTAAATAACATACATGGTCTGGGAAGAGAAGTTACTTTTTTGGGGGAGGGGAGGAGAGTAAAGGAGAGAGGAGGTATTGAATTTAATAGCAGACATTTTTGAGTACAATTATGCTTGCTCCAGATGTTATATTATACTTAAACATTAATACTTGGTTATATGCCATATTGCCTTATAATGCTAAAGATTATAATGCAGAAAAAAATTGTTTCCAGATGCTGGTTAACTACAAATTCTATAGTTAGTTACTGATTAAATGTTAACTCCCTCCATGACTTAATAAGAAGATCTAAGAATGAAAGCCAATTAACCATGCCTGCCTTGTACCTTTTTTAGTTATATCTGAAACAAATTCTGTATTATTTTACCCATTGCATTTTCCAGACATATATCTAATCTATTTTTCTGGTACAGCCTTGAAAGAGTTCTTTTGAGGGCTTCCTGAAAATAAAAACATAAAACTTTATCCTGCCCCTGGGACATGGACAATGCTTCCAGTTAAAGCTGCTCTCATCTCACTTTCTGTCATGCTGAGTTTACACATTTTAATTGTTTCATAATTATAGGGAACACAAGCAGCGGCAAACCCCAGGTTGTTTTGTCATGTTGTCTTCATCCAGAGACTGTAGAAATCTTGATTCTGATGGAAAGAGAAAATGAATTTGTGTTAAAGGAAACGTCTTTAAAAACAAGGTGAAGATCACAACTAAAATTTTGAAACCCCCTAGAAGCCTCTATCTTATTTAAATGGTCACTTCTTTTCTTGTAGCTGGGTATATCAAGGAGAAAAAAAATTGAAAATAGATGATATACTTTTAAGATTCAGGGTCACTGAAATTTGAATGGCTTAGAAAAGATAGCTGTCAGTGTGAACTGCTTTTTCAGATTCATCATATAATATGAGGCACCAGCTAAGAATGAAGAAAGAAACTGATGTCATTTGTTTTTTTCATGGAAATCTCACCTCCAAAATCTGCCACCACAGCATGCCCATCCTCACAGAGAAGAATATTGTGACTATAAGAAACAAAACAAAGTAAAAACAGTAAAAAAAAACAACAACCCAAAAAACAAACACTGACTTTGAGTAAACTATTATTTCTGAATCTGACTGGCTCCTTAAGGAAGAGGTTTATAGTCATCATTTGTTTACTCAGAGGCTGAATGAACTGCAAAAGACTGACAGAGATCTTAGGTCAGTAACTCTGATTTTCTTAATTTTGCTAATTCAAAAGGAGTATTTACAAAATCATTTTATATCTAACTTCGAAAGTATACATGGTGTCTCATTTTGGATAAATCTTCTAAATGGGTCAGAAATTTCCATTTGCTGAAGAACAGTTTTTCAGCTCTCTGTGATTCATTTGCTAAGACAATTGTTAACAGGCAGTGTTAAAGGCATCGGTGGGCATATGAGAGCCAGAGCGAGGGAACCAGCTTGCTGGCACCCTAGGCTCCAGGGCAGTTCAAGTCAGAGCCTGGCATGAACATAATAAAAGGACTCTGTGGAAAATGTCTTGGCCACTATGCTCTAGCTACAATCCCAGGAAGAAGGATTGTATAGCTTATACTAGATAACTGCTTTTTAAGGTCATAGGGAGGAAAAGGTATAAAGGTCACCAAAGTCTTTCCAACCCAGAATTCAAGCGAGGTTAAGAATGTCCTTCCTTTTCAAAAAGTAAATCAAGGCTGAGACAGCCCCCAAAGAAGTCATTCTTCCCCCCACATATCGGCGAAATGAGCTGTGGGATATCTGATGGATGGACAAGCACATCATGATCCAAGATTGTTCTTGAGTGCTCCTTACAGAATGCTTTTTTCTATGCTCATTTCACATTTGGCTTGTAAATGAGTCATTTCAGTATCAGGAGATCGTCCACTGGATTTCTTTTAGTGTCTATAGGTTATACTGTATTTATTGTATTTGTTCTGTCCCTAATTGTTTTGCTTTGTGATCAACATAAAGAAAACACTATTATTTTCTAGTCCTGAATAAGACCCAAATAAGATATTGAATTCTTTACATAAATGTTTTTTGGGGGCTGACTGGAGCGTTATAAGAAATTTACTTTTGAATTTCCCTAGTATCATTAATGAATTTTATTTCAGCGATATCGACTTAATCCTCTTTTCAACTACTTAAAATTTAGAATATGTTTAAAGCCACTTTGCTTGGAAAAACTCAGTGGAGAAGTAATCAAGGATGTCAAAACAAAACCCCCAAGATGCTCTCTTTAACTTCAAATTTATCAGTTGCAACATGTGATGAGAAGACAGTCATGATAAAGAATGTGATAGAATCAGGAACTCTCTGGAAGTTCAAGTACGACAAGAAAAATGCATCTAATGCTGTGCCACCAGATTGAACTAGCATTTTGGCCCGAGTACCGCCATCTGGGGGAAAGGGGTAAGGAAATGACAAAAGAAGTAAGGGGCAGGAGATGAGAAGAGATAGGTTACACTGAAAGGAAGGAGGACAATGGTGAACAGATGCTATAATATACACATCTGTACACATAAGCAGTGCACACACATACGCATACATACACACTTGTCATTTAAACTCTAAGGAAACATCTTTAAGGGTGACATGCTGCTGAGGAATGCCCTCCAGAAGGCAGTAAGTTTGGTAAAACCATACAAGGAAGTTTAGGAGGTAAAGATCAGGGCGCCTGGGTGGCTTAGTCGGTTAAGCATCCGACTTTTGCTTAGGTCATGATCTCGCGGTTCGTGGGTTCGAGCCCCGCGTCAGGCTCTGTGCTGACTGCCAGCTCAGAGCCTGGAGCCTGTTTCAGTCTGTGACTCCCTCTCTCTGACCCTCCCCTGCTCACGCTGCCTCTCTCTTTCTCTCCTAGAAATAAAAAAGAAAAAAAAGAAAAAAAAAAAGAGGTAAAGATCAACAGGTCCCTAATTCTTGCAGTAATTTTTGGCATTTCTGATTTAACATTTTTTCCCTGCAAATGAGACTATTTTCAATGAAAATTAGCCATATCAGTGAACATTGGGATTCAATTAGAGTTCAAACACATTGAAAAGATTCACTGGTTTGTGGTCAAAGAAACAAGTAGTCCCCAGAACCAGAACTGTTCAATTCTCCAAGCAATTAATGCCAGCCGCTCTCTTCTGAAAACCAGTCACAGACTCACTCCAAAGCACTCTGAGTGGCACCTAAACAATGAAAATCTCATTGGAGTAACAATCATTTTTTTTAATGTTTAAATTTTATTTAAATCCAAGTTAGTTAACATACAATGCAGTAATGATTTCAGGAGTAGACTTTAGTGATTCATCATTTATATATAACACCCAGTGCTTATCCCAAGAAGTGCCCTCCTTAATGCCCATCATCCATTTAGCTCATCCCCCTACCAACACCCCTCCAACAATGCTTAGGCTGTTCTCTGTATTTAGGTTTCCTTCTCTCTCTCTGTTTACCTTATTTTTCCTTCTCTTCCCCTGTGTTCATATGTTCTGTTTCTTAAATTCCACATGAGTGAAATCATATATTTATCTTTATCTTTATCTGACCGACTTATTTTGCTTATTAGCATAATACATTCTAGTTCCATCCATGTTGTTGGAAATGGAAAGATTTCATTCTTTTTTTTTTTTTCCTCATTAAAGTTTTGTTTTAATGGGTCTCAAAATTCTGTGACAGATTTTTGGTTAAGTTGTTTCCATTAAAAAGTACTGATTTTAAAAACTAATAATTTCGCTCAGCATAACACCCTCTAGTTCCATCCATGTTGCTACAAATGGCCAGATTTCATTCTTTCTCATTGCCATGTAGTATTCCATTGTATAAATATACCACATCTTCTTGAAGTCAGGCAGAGAAGGACAGATACCATAGGTTTGCGCACATAGGTGGATTAGGAGGAACTTAATTGATGACCATGGGGGAGAAGAAGGGGAAAAATAGTTGGGGAGAGGGAGGGAGGCAAACCATGAGAGACTCTTGGATGCTGAGAACAAACTGAGGGCTGATGGCAGTGGGGGAGAGGGGAAAGGGGGTGATGGGCATGGGAGAGGGCACTTGTTGGGATGAGCACTGGGTGTTATATGGAAACCACCTTGACAATAAATTATTTAAGAAAAAAAAACTAATAACTTAAAACTGCTACACACAAAAACAAATGGTCCACAAAACATTCTCCTTTCCTTCTGAAGGTTTTGTGATGCATTGTTATCATTAACCAGTCTTTTACTATTAAACTAAAATGCCCAAATGACACAAACAGTTCTGAGACTGTTGTTCCACCACTGATTAAGACTGGGGTGGCAGGTATTGGGGATAATATTCATTTAGCCTTCTGAGCTTTCTGGGCAGACTTGGTGACCTTGCCAGCTCCAGCTGCCTTCTTGTTCACTGCTTTGATGACACCCACAGCAACCGTCTGTCTCTCTCAACACACATGGGCTTGCCAGGAACCATCTCAATGATGGCAGCATCACCAGATTTCAAGAACTTGGGACCATCTTCCAGCTTCTTTCCAGAACGACGGTCAATCTTCTCCTTCAACTCAGTGAACACGCAGGCGATGTGCGCTGTTTGACAGTCCAGCACAGGCGCATAGCCAGCACTGATTTGGCTTGGATGGTTCAGGATAATCGCCTGATCTGTGAAGCCAGCTGCTTCCATTGGTGGGTTATTTTTGCTATCACCAGCCACATTGCCATGACGAACATCTTTAACAGATATGTTCTTGACATTGAGGTCCACATTGTCCTCACTCAAAGCTTCATGGTGCATTTCAACAGACTTTACTTCAGTTGTAACGTTGACTGGAGCAAAAGTGATCACCATGCCAGGTTTGAGAACACCAGTCTCCACTCGACCCACAGGGACCGTATCAATACCACCAATTTTGTAGATATCCTGAAGAGGCAGACGCAAGGGCTTGTCAGTTGGACGAGTTGGTAGCAGAATGCAATCCAGAGCTTTAAGCAGTGTGGTTCCACTGGCATTGCCATCTTTATGGGTGACTTTCCATCCCTTGAACCAAGGCATGTTAACTTGGCTGCAGCATGTTGTCACCATTACAACCATAAATTGGCACAAATACTACTGTGTCAGGGTTGTAGCTAATTTTCTTAATGTAGGTGCTGATTTCCTTAACAAATTCCTCGTATCTCTTCTGGCTGTAGGGTGGCTCAGTGGAATCCATTTTGTTAACACCAACAATAAGCTGTTTTACACCCAGTGTGTAAGCCAGAAGGGCATGCTCACGGGTCTGCCCATTCTTGGAGATACCTCTGCCTCAAATTCGCCAACACCAGCAGCAACGATCAGGACAGCACAGTCAGCCTGAGATGTGCCTGTAATCATATTTTTGATAAAGTCTCTGTGTCCTGGGGCATCAATGATGGTCACATAGTACTTGCTGGTCTCGAATTTCCACAGGGAGATATCAATGGTGATCTCACGTTCACATTCAGCTTTCAGTTTATCCAAGGCCCAGGCATACTTAAAGGAGCCCATTCCCATCTCAGCAGCCTCCTTCTCAGATTTTTCAATAGTTCTCTTGTCGATCCCACCACATTTGTAGATCAGATGACCCATAGTGGTAGACTTGCCTGAATTTATGTGTCCAAAAACAACGATGTTGATATGAGTCTTTTCCTTTCCCATTTTGGTTTAGGTTTAGTGGTGGTTTTCATGACACCTGTGTTCTGGTGGCAAACCCGTTGCAAAAAAAAAAAAAAGCGATTTCATTCCTTTTGATTGCTGAGTAATATTCCATTGTATATATGTGTATGTATACCACATCTTCTTTATTCATTCATCAGTCAATGGACATTTGGGCTCTATGCATACTTTGGCTACTGTTGATAGTGCTGTTATAAACATTGTGATGCATGTGTCCTTTCAAGTAAGAATTTTTGTATCCTTTGGATAAATACCTAATAGTGCAATTGCTAGGTCATGGGGTAGCTCTATTTTCAATTTTTTGAGGAACCTCCATACTGTTTTCCAGAGTGGTTACACTAGTTTGCATTCTCACCAGTAGTGCATA